CGGGGGTGGCAGCGGTGGTGAGGTTGGCCCAGGATCGAGCATTGTTTCGTTCTGCTGTGCATGGGGTCGCTATGAGTCGGTTCCGACTCAATGGCACCTGACAACAACAACAATGTGATGGCAGAGTCTTGCTGTGGCACTGTGGGACAATGCGTCAGACTGCAAAGTTGTTTGAACTGCAAGGTCGGTGGTTCAAGCTCACCAGTTGCTCCTTGGAAACCCTGTACAGGGTCGGAATGACTCAATGGCACTTAACAACAACAACAATGTGATGACTCAAACTGTGGCTGCCTTGTCAGGGCCAAACCAAATGATTTATAAGGCCCCTGGGCCACACATTTCCCACTCCTGCTCTATATTGCTTTTGAGAAGCAGCTGGTGGGTTTGACCTACCAACCTTTTGGTTAGCGGTCCAGTACTTACCCACATCAGCACACCAAGATTATAAATTACCTATACAGGCATACTTGTTTTATTGTGCTTCACAGATGCTGTGTGGTTTTTTGTTTATTTTATAAACAAATTGTGGCTGCAGCAATCCAATATTGGGCAAGTCCATCGGTCCTATTTTTCTAATAGTCTGTGCTCAGTCAGTGTCTTTGTGATACATTTTGATCCTTTTCACCGTATTTCAAACTTTTTCGCAATGCTATTATTGGACACTTCAAAAATTACAGTATAGTGTAAATGTAACTTCTATACGCATCAAGAAACCAAAAAGTTTGTGTAACTCACTTTAACACAATATTTGCTTTATGATGATGGTCTGGAACCGAACCCATAGTATCTCCAAGGCCTGTCTGTACTCATTCTAGGGCATTTGGAAATTATTAAAAGGGTTTCGGAAAACAAGCATTTGCCATAATCCCAAACACCTTGTTATAACCTACCCAGGTTTTTTTTTGTTTTTGTTTTTTGTTTTCTACCCAGGTATTTTTAGCCACATTTGGAAACATGTATTCATAAAATATATTTTAACTGAGATTACATGGAATAGAGTCTTGAATCCAACTTAGCACGTTGGTAACTTTCCCATGCCATTAAAGATGCTTTGAGAAGATTTTCAAAAGCTTAACCTATGATTACAACATGATGCATTGAATCAAGCAAAGGTAAACTCGCAGATTGTTTATCCTTCTGGTGAGTGTAACCACCTCCACAGGACAGACGTCTTTCGGTGCCCTTTCTGACTCTTTTCTTTTCATTTGTAAAGCATGCAGTTCACTGCTTGGTTTTGTTTTTGTTTTTTTAAGATGATTTATTTTATTTATTTTGTTGTTGAGAATACACCAATTCAACAATTTATACATGCACCATTCAGTAACAGTGGCTACATTCAAGCTGTGCAGCCATTCTCATCCTCCTTTTCCGAGTCGTTTCTCCCCTATGAATAGCAACTCAATGACCCCTAAGGTTCCCATGGGAGCCCTGCGGTTGCTGCTGTCAATGTGATCCCATATAAATAGTTATTCATAGAGCAAAAGGCTCAAGGCAGACTTTCTTTACTAGTTAAAGTAAACTATTGTTTGGTTTTAAGAAGAATTCGGGAGTATTTTTAGTTTAAGGTTTAAACATCATCTCAGGGCAAGAGTTTCAGGGGTTTATCCAGCCTTCATGGCTCCAGAAAGTCTGGAGTCCATGAGAATTTGAAATCCTGTTCAGTTTTCCCCCTAGGATTCAGGATTCTCCTATGAACCCTGATTAAAATGTTCAGCGCTGGTAGCTGGGCACTATCCAGTACTGGTCTCATGGCAAATGAGGCAGCTGTTTCGGGAGGCAGTTAGCAACACATTCCATCCCTTTTCCTAGTCTGGACTTTCCTGTTTGCCATGCAAACATACACCAAGTGTTGTACCTTGAACAGCCACTTGCAAGCTTTTAACACCCAGACTGGGGCAGATTATCCAATAAGCAAGGTAAGCATGGGCTTACTTGTGCTGATTTACTAATCTGAAATGAACAGTTTCACATGAGTTTTATGTGATGAAACTGTTCACTACATATTAATAAGTAAACACAAATAAGCCTGTGCTGTCTTTGCTTACTGGGTACTCCATCCTATCAGGGATGGTGAATCTAAAGCGTGATTTGGGGCTGTGGGATAGATGACAGCCACACGTAGAAACAGAATCTCTCATGTGGAGAAAAAATATGCAATTATTTATTTTAGATTAGTAAGTAAGCACAAGTATTGCTTACAGGGCAATCTGACATTGATCCTAGTCACTATGTATCAAACTAAGAGTTTAACAAAAACACTAAATATGATTATTAGATCACTTAATTGGGAAGACAGTTCCACAGAAATGCTATTACTTAGTGCAAAAACCATGTGAGAGCCATGCCTGGCTTCCCCCCCAGCTTCACAAGTAAGGAAGAGAATCCAACTCAAAATCAGCCTAAAGCCAATTCCTATGACATGGAGATCAAAGAATGCCTCCACCCTACAACCTTCTTTATCCTATTCTGGCACCAACCATCCCTCCCCAAAGCTTCACATCTGGGTTTGATAATCCATTGTCATGACCACACAGAACTCAGAACAATACTCACGGTTATGAGCTTTATTAGGGATGTGAACGGGGTGTAATTCAGGATCAAAACCAACTCAGGGCACAACAGTTCCCCAGTCAGGACTCCTGCGTCTGCTATATTACAGGCATGTCTTATTCTTGTCTTCTGCCGCTTAGCCACGTGGTCCCTTGGCCTCTACCTCAGCCTATGCCCTAGAGCCCACCCACAGCTACTCTGCTTCTCCATGCCACCAGGTTTGCCATTGCCTCTGCCACTGTCTCCTGAAGTCTCAGGCTCTACCTTCTTGATAGTCCTGGGATCTTCCATCTCTGGTTTTGAGATGGCTCCTTTAAAACCTAGCTGGAGGATAAAACTAACCAATCACAGCCTTAGAGTCCTGTATACCTTATATGCATGGTCCCACCCAATCACTTGGTTGGAATTAAGGAGACACTGGACACAGAAACCATATCAAGTAAATTCAAGGTGCCACACTTGACCAAAGGAATAAACCCTTTCCATATATTCAACAAATGCTGCTAAACTTCTTTACAGAAAAACTGAATCAACTTATAATTCTACCTCCTGTGGTGTTGTGTGGTGCTGTTATGATAAGCACTGGACTACTAACCACACGATCAGCAGTTCAAACCCACCATTCACTTCTTGGAAACCCTACACAGAGTCACTATGAGTCAGAATCAACTAACTGATACTTAACAAAAACAACTTGAATAACAACATTAGTCTTCTCCAACCCTTGTTGTTGTTGTTATGTGCCGTGGAGTTGATTCCGACTCATAGCAACCCTATTCAGGGTTTCTGAGGCTGTAAATCTTTACGGGAGCAGAACGCCTCATCTTTCTCCCGCGGAACAGCTGGTAGTTTTGAACTGCTGACCCTCAGGATAGCAGCCCAATGCGTAGCCACTACGCTTACCAGAGCTCCTTCTCCAACCCTTAGAAGCACTGAATACTGCTTTTGTTGTTGTTGTTGACAATTTGGTAAGTCAAAATATTGTAATTCATTCTTGCATTTGAAGTTTGCTTCTCTTTAATTACTTAGTGAAAATAACCCTGAATATAAAGCGTGATTTATTATGAAATGACAATTTCTTATGAATTGTCATTTTTTTAAGTACAAGCATTCTTTGTGTAATATGAGCACTATCCTAGCCATGTATTTGTTGCAAGTATTTTGCTTGACTGTAGCACTTGTCTTTTGAATTTGTTTCTATAGTCTTGCAATATATCTGATTTTTTTAGTTTAGTACAATCAAGTCTACATTCCTTATCCAGTGTTGGCTTTTTTTCTTTGCTTTTCAAGATAGAGATGGTGTCACATGATGACAAACACATTTTAGACAAGGTTACTTTAAGCTATAGTGTTGTTGTTGTTGTTGTTGTTGTTGTTGTTGTTGTTAAGTACCGTCAAGTCAATTCCAACCCACAGCGACACTGTATAGGTTTTCCAAGGAGCAGCTAATGTGCTTGAGCCACTTGACCTTGCAGTTCAAATGGCTTTGCAGTCTGGTGCCTTAACCCACAGTGTCACACCAGGCCTCCTTAAGCTCTACATAGTCTTTTAAATCCTTATTGACTTTCTTACAGTGAAAAAGGAAAGTTCATAGAACAAGAGTGCAAATGTTCCATTCAATACATAAACTCCACATTAGAATGCATAGGCATAAGCATTTACATACCTGCTTGTGACAATGATCACATCTTCAGAGATGGTTGCCATTTCCTTGATGGTGAGGTAACACATTCTTCTCAATGTTTGCTGAAAATGATTTATAAAATAAAGGAATACCTTTTAAAAAATGGTTTGAGGTAAGGACTTCAACCAACTATATGTATTTAGAAGTGATTTTAAAAAAATTCTCATAGATTCAAAAATACTAAAACATCCCCAAGACACAAACAACGAATACACCAAAACAATGTGGAACAACTAGACAAAAGTGAAAACTTCAAGGAAATCTCTGGGTCTTTTCAGGGACAACCAGATTGACACTCAGATAGCATTACACAGAGTCTAAAGACAGATGTTTTCAACATGTTCAAGGCTTGTCCTGGAAATTTTAATTTAAAAATTCTTTTAAAAACATGTACAGAGACCAGCATAAAAAACCACCACCAACAACAACAACAACAAAACATGTACAGAGAGAAGCACAACCTGTATTTTCCTCAGTTCAGTGTATACAAACATATCTTCTGAATCCTAAATCATTCATGGTTAGATAATCAACTTCCACTTTCAATGATCATTTCTATTACCAATTTCTAGCTGGATATCTGTCTCCAAAAGAAGTGCTAAACAAAGACGAATAAAGCTTCACCTACCCGTCTCCGAATCACCTAAACTCTCTTACTTATTCAGATGCTATGGGCAGTATCAAACACCAACCTGCCCTAGACTGGCTGGCCTCATTCCCTACCCAAACCGAAAATCAAACCCATGGCCACAGAGTTGATTTTGACTCCTAACTACCCTACACAGACTTTCTGAGACTGTAAATCTTCGTGGGAACAGACAGCCTCATGCCCTAGTCAGAGACTTCAATTTCTTCTATGTAGGAAAATAAAAAGATCTGAGTCTCAGCTCTAGAACCTATGCTGGACATGGACGCTGGTGGAGTCTACCAAGTCCACTCAAGAGAAAAGAAGGGAAGGGAATCCTATAAGATTAAATCCATATAAAATCACTCCCAGAATGAGAAAGCCCACCCTGAGTGGGAAAACACTGAGGAAAAGATCTAAAATCTAGTAGATTAAAATACTGACTTCTAGGAAATAAAATGAAAGAATCTGAAAATATAGGCAAGGCAATAATCTCAGGCAGATAGTGCTTATGAGGAAAGGAAGTGACTTAGAAAGGGAGAATTCCCAACTCATTTGATAAGGCTAGCATCACTCAAACACAAAGCCCAGAATAAAACCTGAAAAGAAAAAAAAAAAAAAAACCTACACAGCAGTATGTTTCATTATCAAAAATCCTTTAACAACTTTCAATAAACAGAAACCAAACAACCCTGGGTCTCACAAATGACTAAGTACTTGACTACTACTAGCTGGAAAGTTGGTAGTTTGAACCCACTCAAAGGTGACTTAGAAAAAGAGATATTTACAAGACACACACTGAAAACTATAAAAGTACTGTGGATAGAAATTAAATACATCTAAATAAAGGGAGACATGTGCCATGTTCTTGGAACAGTAAACTCCATAGTGTTAAAAATGTCAATGCCTCACAAATTGATCTTCAAACTGAATGCAATGCTAATAAAAATTCCAGCAGGGTTCTTGTGAAAGTTGATTCTAAAATCCACATCAAAATGCAAAGGGCTCAGAAGGGCCAAAGTTACACACACACACACACACAAAGACTTGCACTACTTTATTAAAAATGTACTATAAAGCTACAGCAAACAAGACTGTATAAAGTATTGCTGTAGCCCCACGGAACAAATCACAGCTGCAATACTGGAAAGGATCAAAGTGTTTGTAACTTAACTGCAGATCCCAGAGCAAAATTCAAGAATAATTATCCTGTCATGCTTTCTTATCTAATCTGTCAATCTCTGCCTTTTAACTTGGGTGTTTAGTCTTTTTACAGTTAATGTAGTTAGAGACATGGTTGGACTTAAGTTGACCATTCTGTTTTCTATTTATGACCTGTGCTCTTTGATCCTTTGTTCTCAGTTTTCTGCCTTCTCTTGGGTTAATCAAGTATTTATAGAATTCTATCTCCTCTACTGGCTTTAAAAAAACACCTTTACTGAGATACAATTTATATATACATATGTATATACACACGTACATACTTACTGAAATATAATTCAGATTATATTAAAACCTTTCAGAACCCAATAATGAGAAAGCAAACAACTCTTTTATTCTTTTTTGAATGATTTTAACAGATCCTTCACCATGGAAGATAGCTGATAGACAAAACAAGCAAATGAAAGACATTCGAGATCATTAGTCATCTGCTTTTGTTGTTGTTGTTGTGTGCCGTGGAGTCGGTTCCGACTCAGCGACCCTACACAGGGTTTCCAAGGTTGTAAATCTTTACGAGAGCAGACCGCCTCCTTTTTCTCCCGCAGAGCGGCTGGTAGTTTCGAACTGCTGACCTTGCAGCTCGCAGCCCGATGCGTAACCACTACACTACCAGAGCTCCTTAGGAATATGTAAATTAAAATGACACTGAAATATCACTCCATACCTACTACAATGGCAAAAGAAAAAGGAAGGGAAAAACGACATGAAAACCACTGGCGATACCACGTGCTGGCTAACATGCAGAACCACCAACACCCTGAGACAACTCTGGTGGGAATGTAAAATGGACCACCACGTTGGAACACAGGCTGGCCTTTTCTTATAAATACATACCTACCATATGAGCCCTGGTGTGGCGTTATGCTATAGGATAAGCACTGGACTACTAGCCGAAACACAGGCAGTTCAAACACAACAGCCACTCTCAGAAACCCTATACAGGGTCGCAATGAGTCAGAGCTGACTTAACAGCACAGAACAACAACAGCTGTATAACCCAGTACAAAGATAAAGCCTTATGTTTACACAAAACTTGGTACATAAATGTTTATAGCAACTTTATTCATAATCATCATAGACAATCCAAATATCCTTCAACCAATAAAGGGCTAAACAAACTGAGGTACACCCATATAGTAGAATACTGTGATGAAACAAACCAGAATGAAAACACGGGATGAACTAGCATGGATACATTTCAAATCCATTATGCTAAGTGACTGAAAGAAAACGCAAAAGGTTTCATAGAGCATGATACCATTCATACAACATCCTGAAAAAGGCAAAACTCTACAGAATAAAAGAGATCACTGGTGGCCAGAGGCGGAGTGTGGGGGGAAGAAAGAATACAAAGAGACAGGAGAACTGTCTGAGGTGACAAAAAGGCTCTAAATCTTAAAAATCTCTAAGTTAAGGAGTGGTGACACTACTTACCTATACTACTATATGCATCTGTCAAACTTATAGAACTGTTTTCCTAAAAAGAGTGAATTTTATTGCATGTAAATTTTATTCTTCCTTCTCCTCGAAAAAGTGGTAAGTAAATGAAAAGACAGCTACATACTGAAAGACAATATTTGCAAAACACCTTATCTAGTAGAGCCATGAAGTACACTGAGCTCCATAGAGACAGCGCTGGGCCAGGCAGGGCCAGACGGTACTGGGCCGACTCTGTGCCTTGCGGATGGAAAAAAAAAAAAAAAAAAACTAAACATGGGCAAAGGAGATCCTAAGGAGCTGAAAGGCAAAATGTCATCCTATGCATTTTTTGTGCAAACCTGCCGGGAAGAGGACAAGAAGCAACACCCAGATGTTCAGTCAACTTCTGAGAATTTTCCAAGAAGTGCTCAGAGTGGTGAAGACCATGTCTGCTAAAGAGAAAGGAAAATTTGAAGACATGGCAAAGGCAAACAAGGCCCATTATGAAAGAGAAATGAAAACCTATATCCCGCCTAAAGGGGAGACAGAAAAGAAGTTCAAGGATCCCAATGCACCCAAGAGACCTCCTTCAGCCGTCTTGTTTTGTTTGGAGTATTGCCCCACAATCAAAGGCGAGTATCCCAGCCTATCCATTGGTGATGTTACAAAGAACCTGGGAGAGATGTGGACTGATACCGCTGCCAATGACAGGCAGCCTTATGAGAAGAAGGCTGCTAAGCTGAAGGAGAAGTATGAAAAGGATATCGCTGCCTACCAGACTAAAAGAAAGCCCGATGCAGCCAAAAAGGGAGTCGCCAAAGACGAGAAAAACGAGGAAGATGAAGAAGAAGAGGAAGACGAAGGGGATGAAGATGAAGATGATGATGGTAAGTTGGTTCTAGTGCAGTTTTTTGTTTTTTTTGGGGGGTTCTCTATAAAGCACTTAACTTTCCTGTATACGACTCACTCCTTTTAAAGAAAAAAAAGATTGAAATGTAAAAAACCAACAAACATTATCTAGTATAGGACTTGATTCTGAATATAAGAGGGGGCTTCAAAATGTTTGTTGAAAAATTCAATTTATCTTTCAGTTCCATTTTCCTATGAAATCTTTGAAGTTCTCTCATAAAAAGACCACTTACAGTACAATAATAGTAAGGCAAATAATCTATATTTTTAAAGTAAAAGATTTAGATATGTCATAAAAGACAAATGACACTTCATCAAAGACATATGGCAAATAGCCCATGCAAAAAAAAAATATATATATACCAAAAAAAAGTCATTACTGGGGAAATGTAAACCCAACAATCCCATTACAAAGGATTAACCAAAAAGAAATGAAAACCTAGATCTACACAAAAACTTGTAGTACTTAAAAATATTTAGCAGCTTTATTCATTGTACCAATAAACAGGAAAAAAACCTCAATACCCATCAACTTGTGAATGGGCAAACTGGACTACATTCATACAATAGAATGTTGTTGTTGCTAAGTGCGGATACTCAGCAATTAAAAAGGAGTAAACTACAGATAGGCACACGTGAAAAGTGTAATCGATCTCAAAAGTTAGAAACTCAGCGAAAGCAGCAGGCTATAAACATCATAAAAGACTGCATTCTGCACCCACCCCTCACTTATTGGCACAATTGGTCCAAGACCAAGTCATTATGCAAAAATCGGCATTATGCAAAAACATAAGATGTCTATAGCAGACCACAAACTGAAGAATGACTACCTCATTACAAAACTGCCAAATCACTGAGAATCATGGTCCAGCCAAGCTGACACATAAC